TGAAAAAAGTAAAGGGATATGACTGGATTCTTTTTTAACTGAAGTACGTCTTTTCACTGTGTCCCAGTACCAAATGACCTACGGACCGGCACCGGTCCCCAGACGGGGGGTTGGGGACCCCTGACTTAGATTAGGGCTGCCCAATAAGTAGAACGGGATCGAGCAGTATATCACAAGGGGAGTGCTGGTAGATCATGAGCACTTACAATATATGAACAGTATGTTCAACATATACCAGTAAAATTATATTTACTTTAGCCTGGTCATTTGACCAGTGGATCCCGAGCCAAAAAAGTGTGGACGAACTCTGATGTAGATAATAGAAAGGTCTGATACTTTTCATCCATATCAAAATCTGAGCCAAGTACACATAAATACAGTTTGCTATGTACTTATAGTGACATTGATTGTGAATTAGCAGCGACAGTTTAATTCCACAGCCACAGAAACACACTGCGCTTGACTGGAGACTCTTTCTCCAGACAAACTACTGTTTTCTCTTGGATTACTTTAAGCAGCAACGGCAGGTCTTCTGTTTCTGTCTGTTTATTTACTGTCACTTATTTTATGAGATAACATTATAAATATAATTATATTTACCACGTTACACATGCATGCACACACATAAAGAGAGGAGAGTGACACAGGCTACGTCAAAGTATTATCCCCCCTCCCGAAATGTACTGTACAAGGAGCGTTACTATAAAAATGTATTGCTCTGTGGTTGTGAGTGTAGCGCAACATGGAAGATACTTTAAAAATAAAGTAATGATGGGAGCCACTGTTAAATTGTCAACTATATGTAGGTCAATTTGGGGGTCACGTCACTAAAAATGTAAACTCGCTTCTCTGTTGAATTTGATGTAATCCTGCTGTGAAGCCATGCTCACTACATCAGGCTGACACTGTACAACACCACAACTGTTCATCACACTTCATTTGGCTTGCCAGAGACCATACAGAAAAACACTACATCTGACAGTGCCGTGACCAAAATGAAGCCGACTTCACCAGATACCCAACGACTTTAACACTTTTGACGTGTTAAACTCATTGGCTATTATAACTTCAGACGTTACATACTGATAAACGGAGCGCCACCCGGTGGCAGATGCTGCCGCGTGTTTATTACTTAGGGTGGAGTAACGTAAAATATTGAATTTTATTGCATGTCCACTCTTGTTCTGAAGACAGGGCCTTAAGAATAAATTAACTACTGCTTAATGTACATGTATGTCTTTAACCGTCTGCTCCCACTGCAAATGGAATGAAGGTAGCGGTGCTTTTACAATTCATTTTCAAGCTGCCAAATTTCCGCATTTGGTCCGTCACGTTAAGCAAACTGTCCCAGCATTCTCTGCAGGGTGAGAGGAGACAGCCACAGCGTCTCCACCAGGTTGTACTGCCAATAACCCATGAAAAACCCAAACAGCACATCAGACACATTGTGTCTACCCAGCAGAACGCGGCTAAAGCCCACCAGGCCGGCCCACAGGAGCACCAGAACTCGCAGTGGGGCGGCCAGCACCAGGTGAGCCAGCAGGAACCGTCCACACAGGGCGGCACGAGTGGAATGGCCGGAAGGAAATGAGTAACGGTCCACAGAAAAGGTAGCGAACATGTCCATACGATTATGCGCCGGCCGACGACGGCGCACCGCTGTCTTGACAATACCAACTAGAAGAAGGTCCAACAAAAGACCTGAAGATCAAAGGAGACACAGAGAAGATTTTACCAGGTAATTCATAAAAAACTCCAACTGAAAAAGGCGAATATGATTTTGTGAAAATGATGGCAGCACAACTTAACAATAAAGTGTTGATGAGTACAACTATCTCATTTGTCAATAAAGATTGTTCTAACCCAATCTTACAAAATATTCATGTCTGTTTATACTTTCTTAGGAATGTACAGGTATATGGGGATAGCCAATATGTTTAGCCACCCCCTGGTGGTGGAGGGTGGAAAAGCGAATAAGGCAAAATCACACAAACCATCAAAGTGATTGACTTTTCTCTAAGTACACTGTTCTCTGGTATAATATTCATTATCACGGTTTCTATTTCTTTTCTAACCGTTTATGAAATTATGCAGAGTAACAAACAAAAATAAACGGAATATAGTGAAGAAAAAAGAAAACCGCAAACCAACATACATGCAAGCACAAACGCGATAAACTCCCAACTTTCTAACCTGTCTAATAATGACTGATAATACCAGTTATTGGGCAACTGCACCGGCTTCATTGTGTAAAAAAGGACAGTACCTGAAAATTTGAAAACTAAGATATAAAATATTGAGAAAAAATATAGATTAATTGTGGCCAATGAATAAGGGCTGGTACTCAAATGAAATTTCAATAGCCACTAATCGTATTGTCATCCAAAATATTTCAACAGTGATGCAACGAGGTGTACTACGCAGGTAGTGTCACGCGGACAAAAGTGCAATAACCTCCTGTGGTTTTGACCCATGGTTTATCAGCATTAGCTGTGGTCAACAGGGTTCACTTCATGGAATTGACTCAGGGTTGTTAGCCATGAAAAAATGCTGGAAAAGATTTTTGTATTTCAGTTTCTGAATTGTCCACAGAGGAAGTCAATGTCCACATTTTACACTAGGTTTAAAAAAATCTACACACCGAGAACAAACATAACTTAAATACTAATAACAACAATGGTATTTCTTGAGTGGTACACTCCTGTAGTAGTGTGTAAATATATAAACGTGAACTATTTGTAATTGTGACACAGCACACCACTGCACACGACCAAATGTGACCTCTGCTTTTAACCAATCACCAAAGTGAACAGTGGGCAGCTTTAAGCACCCGGAGAGCAGAGTGTGGGGACAGTGCGATGCTCAGAGCACCTCAGTGGTAACTTGGCAGCTGGTGGTGGTGGTGGACTCAAGCCTGAAACCTTCCGGACCAAAGTCTGCTTCGTAACCACCAAGTCACCACTGCCTCTGTGTAAAAAGGTCAGAAAATTGCTATCAAAGTGAAATTAGTTTCTTGCAGCAAAATAAGATGAAAATATAATATTGTATAACAATAATAATAATAATAATGAATCACCATCATCATTGCTGGTGCATAAATACATCAACCATACGACACAGGCTGATATACACTGTGTCCAACCACTTGTTTATTCCAGTGTTTACAGTTAGATTTATTGACTGGAGTTAAGTCGGCCAACTTTGCCTTAATATCTAACATTAGACATTTAAATCACACTTAATATCTGGCATACAGCTAACACTGATGATTTAATGACCCAGGTGTTTCTATGTCAGCTAAAGAGAAGATGAACAGAATGTCAAGAGTGATGTCACTGTACAAACTACACTTCCTGATGGCAGTTCGGATGTAACGATTTTTGTGTAAAAAGTGTGCACTTTTCAAGCTAGTAATTGCAGTGTACGGCCCCTGCACCGCCCCTATCGCCTCACATCAGTGATGACATTAGCCTTATTGGACAGTAAATTGTCCATCAACTTAAATGCATCAATAAAAACGCCGGATACTTAACACTTGCACAGTGATTTTTCACAAAATCTTGCGACGGAGAGACGTGGTTAATTTACCTATGAACAGGTTGAGCATGACTTCTTGACCAGCGACGCTGTCACTCTTGTACAGACAGTAGGCAGCGCCGATCAGCCAGGGAATACCGTGGCCTGATATCTCGATCAACTTCATCAATGGCCGAAAGCTGCCCCAGGAAGAGTCCTCGCAGGCGCACACCCCCAGTCGCTTTGATAGCCACAGGTCGATGGCGAGCAATGAGCTGAGCGCTACGCGGATGAAGGAAGGATTCAGTCTTATACCGTCCTCATCCTGCGCTCCCTGACCGCCCGTCGAGCCCGTGGATGAACTGGAGCCGCGTCGCCGTGTGGGACTTTCCGATGCTCGGAGCCGCGCGGTGGTTGGGTCAGATCCCTGCCGCTGAAGCAGGTGCGTGGGAGCGGTTCGGCGGCTTAGTCAGTGACATGAACTCGTAGCGGCTGTTGTTAGAGCTGCCCAGTACCGGGCTTCCTCCACCGCGGGCCGGATTTTTAGCTTTGGGTGAAGGCATATCGTGGATGTACTGACGTTAAACCGTACTGCAAATGACTTGTAGTTCTGCCGCAGTACCCGAAATCCGCAGCGGTGCGTCAATTGTAGCGCCTTCAGCTAATTTCCTGCTCGCAATTCACATCATAGCAGACGATACGGCGTCGGCGGTTCCTGAATGAGTGAGATGAACCGGAAGTGTTCAGGTTGAGCCAAGTTGAAAATAAAAAACACTCAAGCTTTTTTCTTTTTTGTTTTACATTAAACGTTACGTTATGGTCGTTATATAACAGTAACATTTAATTGTTAATTTATTAACCACTTATTTAGCATTTACGAAAAAACGAAACATTGTTAGCTTCCTTTATGAAACCGAAGGTTTATAAAAAGGTTTTGTTTAATAAGTAAATATTCATTTTGCATCAAACTAAATATAGATTAAATATTGTAGTGAGTCAATAATATAATAATGTCAAAGTTTTCCTGTTATGTAAGCGTTAGAAACTCGTTACATAAATCAAAAGACGCGTTTGCTGTCTTTGTGAGGGGCAGTGTGTGATGTACGTCACACGCGTTCCTCCTCCCTTGCCTGCTACTCTTCCTGAACCTAGGCGCTTCTGCTGACGCTCCGTTCTGCAGACTCATTCACTTCACTGCTCTTGTTACACCTTTTCTTTCTGAGTCACACAGGACGCCAACATGCCGGGACTTCTGCTGGGAGACGAGTTTCCAAACTTCGAAGCCGACACCACCATTGGCAGAATCAAGTTTCACGACTTTCTGGGCAGCTCGTAAGTACGAATGCCACATAGCACTGATGCTATAGCTGGTCATATTTTAATAACGGCATGTTCGGGACATGTTTGCTTACGTCGTCATACAATTGACCTCGTTTTTTATTAGATTCAGACATGGTCTAAATTTTGGTCGGAGTCAAGACTGAGATGGTTCCAGATGCAACACGTGATGCTGCATCACATGTTTAGGGACCACCTGCTGTGCATGGTTTAATGTCAATTGATTTAGCAACAACTTCTACAAAAGAACACTGTGTCCAACACGTACTGAAATCAACTGTTCCAGATTTGATATTGTAAAACAGTGATGGTCAACTACATCCAAATGTATTGAGTTTTCACAAATAAATGTTTTTTTTAAAATAACAAATAATCTTGCTCCTGTGATGATTTTTAACACTATCTGGTCAAACAATAGAGGGAACAGTTGTGAATGGCTTGGATGTATGTCACTGATGAAATTTGATACAGTAGCCTGGGGATCCACTTGCAAATATTTGCCACACAAGAATAATACTTCCCTAGGATATTATTAAACCAAACTGTTGTCATGGGAACCACCCATGACAACACAAAGAAAAATTACTTCTATGTCAGAACATTACTTCTATGTCAGAACAAGCTTACAGTAATGCAAAATGAAAGCTAAATTTCAAAAATATCCCTAAACAATACACTTGTGTATTGTGTAAGAATCTGTGGTTGAACAAATATGCAAAAAATAAATATGATCAACAGATAACCGGAGACATAGCACATGAGCCCTGCACTGGAGCTCTACATATTTAAACGCTTCAGTAAAATATAATGTAGCGTTTGTTACTTCCACATATTTCTCCGGTTGAGGACCGTGAACTGTATGTAAGACATTTGGCAGCCAGACTGCCAAATTGTAGTTCGTAAAATCCTAAAATGGCGACGCATATTTCGCATCTGGAGTGGTATGCCCATGTGTGTGTTGATTTAATTACCATCACATGAAATACACACCCAATAAAAAGACACAATCTTGTTGCAGGTACAGTATAGCAGCCCACAAGTTTCTGTGGTTTGCAGAAATAATATATATAATATAATTTAAGAAAACTAAATTACCCTGTCGCGTGCGCCCCATGCACATATACGCACACAGTTATGGAAAAGTAACTGATCGCTAACAGTATGAACCTCGTTAGCCCGTAGGAATTCATAAATTAGCCGCATCATTGGGTAAGCCGCCGTGTGAAAAAAGTAGCAGCTTATACTCTGAAAATTACATTAAGTCTTCTGTTTTTTCCCCTGAAGATTACAATTTCATCAGTATAACAAAGATGTCCTCCCTTGTGTCTCCTTTTCTTTTTCATATCCAGGTGGGGGATTCTGTTTTCCCATCCCAGGGACTTCACCCCAGTTTGCACCACAGAGCTGGCCTGTGCCGCTAGGATCAGTGATGAGTTCAAGAAACGAGGTGTGAAGATGATTGCCTTGTCCGTCGACAGTGTCGAGGATCACCGCTGCTGGAGCAAGGTTAGATGCTTATTAATAGACCAGGTTAAACCAGTGTGGCTTAACAACAGTATAATTAACCTCTATATTTATGTGAGTCATTTCTTTTTACGTCAGCAGCTGTGAACAAGCGAAATACATGTCATACAAGGGCGTATCTTATCTCTTAATGTGCCATTAAGAGACAAATTAGAATCCTTGTAAATCATAAAGGTAGAGATACTATGATAGAGACCAGAGAAAAAGGTGAAGAAACTCAGTGCCATGTTGAAGGACACTTTAAAAATTAATGTAACCAGTGCAATTTTTAAAACTTGACACCTTACTACACCATGACAGTGGTTGGCAAAAACCTGGGCTCAGACATGAGCAATTTGCAACGCCTCCTCATAAAGACCTGTGATTGGTCCATGTCACTGAACTGGTGACAGTTCAGTGAACCAGTTAAAAGAGGAATGATGTTTTGCTGCAAACTCAAAGCCAACACTGGTATTTTAACCATGCTATAACATTTTTTAACATCCCGTGACATAACCTTTAATCAGCGTACGTGAGGACAAAGCTCATGTAATCTGTCACCAATTGCTACAGCATGACAGTTTATAGCTTTTATGAGACATATGATGAAGACAATTATTGACTCAAAGTCAAGTCACTCGTCACGTCTTCTGTGCAGGATGTGATGGCATTCAACAGTGCAGCTGAGAGCCAACTGCCCTTCCCCATCATCGCTGATGATAAGAGAGAGCTGGCGGTTAAGCTCGGCATGCTTGACCCTGACGAACTTGACAAGGATGGGATTCCCCTTACGGCCCGCTGTGTAAGAATTTTTTTTTTACAGATCCTGATTTTTCTGTAAGTGTGACATGCCGTTACTGATTTTTGCCGATAACTATCTTGAGCAAATTCAAAAAGTAAAGTGTTCTTCAGTGTAAAATTGAATTGTCATATCAAGTTATTTTGAAACATCCCACTAACTTCAGTCAGTCACAGGTACTGTCTGCAGTTCAACAACTTAACAAATAAATTGTTTGGTGACTGGAATCGGGTATTAAAATGAAAATGGGTTCCTGTGCACCAAACAACCTGACGAATCAAACACGTCAAGCTGTAAGCTTCAGGGTTAGCCAGTATGCAGCTAATAGAAATTGGCATTAAGAAAAATGTCCATAATCAGAATTTTTTCTAAAACTGATAGGGATACTCAAATTTTAAAAGCCCATATCACATTCTGGCTGTTTACATGTTATATGGTTCAGGACGTATAGTTATAAAAAATAAAAACCTTATTTTTTTAAAGTTCTCTCTTGGGGCCACCTAGTGGACTCCCAGGAGGCCTCGACCCCCTCTTTGAAAATCACTAGTCTAACTAACCAATTCTCTAACCTGCAGAAAGAACAGCCAATTACGTTAATCAATACAGTATAGATTCACTATTAAAATTATCTCTCCAGGTCTTTGTGATTGGCCCTGATAAGAAGATGAAGCTTTCCATCCTGTACCCAGCCACCACAGGAAGAAACTTTGACGAGTTGCTCAGAGTCATTGACTCTCTGCAGCTCACAGCACAGAAGAAGGTCGCCACGCCAGTCGACTGGAAGGTAAGTTGATATGTGACCGTAAAACTTTATTTAGATCAGTTCTTGGCTCAGGTAATCAAAGTCACATTTGTCTCTGTATTTATAAATCACTGCACTAAAAATATTAGACTATCATATTTTCAATTTCTTTGTTTTTGTTTGGTTTCAGCCTGGTGACAAAGTTATGGTCATTCCTTCCCTTTCTGACGCGGAGGCTGCCCAGCTGTTCCCCAATGGTGTGACTACAAAGGAACTTCCTTCTGGAAAGAAATACTTGCGTTATACTCAGCCTTAAAGATGTCACTGCGCTTTGGCTTGGGACTCTTGGCCTAAGGGCTGCATTATTTACTTTTCACGAAACAGATTGTAATAATTGACTGGTGCCACACTTCCCTTACCCTTTATACTGGAAGTTTAAAACTGACCCTCTCTAGGCAGGCAAAAACACCCTCTCTGAAAACATCTCTGCATTCTTGTCTTACTATGGACACAGATTTCGGCAGATTGTGTCCTCCAAAGTTACCAATGTGTTTCACGACCACATCGTGATAGTGTGACAGTGGTTACAGAGTGTGCTCAGCAATGAACCACTGATGTTTACAGTGTCCCTGCAGTGCCTTAATTGTTCCAGCCAAATTACAATGTCCATACAAACTCTGAATCTGTAAGCTTGAAATAAATAAAATAATGAAATGTGTACAACCAAAAACCTAGTAGCTTCTGCTTTAACTTGTTTCACCAGTAGATGTCGTCCTACAACCTAAAATAAAAAAAAGAACAGCTCTGCTCATTTTGTTGCGAAACCATCATGGGTCACTAGATGGCAGTAGATTCACACATTATTTCATACAGCAGCAGCAACGTTAAAAGCTAGAACTTAATTTTTTTACATATGAACAAAAACGCATAGTCGAAGAAACGAACGTAACTAACGTCACTAACCACTACGAAACATCCAAGCTATTTCTTTCCTCTCGTCTGTGAGGCACAGGCTGCGTTACTCCACAATGCGCATGTCCATTCATTCCCAATCAATTGTTGTGCCAGCGGTAACGTCTCTCAGGTCTGCCCCCCTGCGGAGGAGCTTGATTGTACATGTCTCTTAAGTACTTCAAAATAAAAGCATATAAATAGGCCGATCACAAAGGGACTTTAAAAAACTGGTTTGTAAAGAATTCAGCTGTACTCAATCCTTTACTAACACCTCATTTACACACCAATGAACCATGTTAATATGCATTTTTGTATCGCCACATGTTCCCTATAAAGTCCTGAACTCTTAACGTACCATTACAGGTTAGGGCGTCTGTAGCATCAAATCCTAACAGTCAGCTGCAGGTGTGTTACCTGTGGGATCATTCCTTCCAACCTTTTCATTAAATGCTACGATTTGATGACGCACATACTTAATGCCGCCTCCTGTGGCAGCCTGTGTGGGTTCTGAAGACTAGTTAGATGTTAGTCTTTAAATACTATTAATGAAGATTGTTAATTAATTATTAAGAATGGTTAACAATTAATTTGGAATTGTGTTGGACACCCCCACTGTTGATACAGGTACATGTACCAACATACTGTCGGTACATGTCAGCTGCAGGTTGGTTTGAACCCCAGGCCAGTCACTGAAGCCCAGTCTGAGGTGTAGGATTGCACCTTTTGAGTTATTTAACCCTATGGACCACATGGGTAACAATCGTGTGTGTTATTCAAAGTCATCTGAGGGTGAACACTGATCTAACACACACACAATAACATTCTGGCCTTCGCATTCACTTCGAGTGAAAGGAATGTTGAGGTCAAAGGCAAATGGTGAGTCCTTTTTGAGTAAGAACGGAGACGTACAAGGCCAGATAAGGTGTCTGAGCCCTCACTCCGTCTGTCAGCGGAAGGAAAAGGAATGTTATTCATCTTTTTATTTGACTTTTAATCTGTAAAATGTCAAACTGCCTGCATTGGTCATGTAACGTGTGCTTTACATCTCCTCTGGGTATTCTTCTTTCTTGTGGTAGCTGTTTTGGCCCCATCCTTTAATTCACTGCCACGGAGACACACACGGACTGATCAAATGCATTTCTCAAATTCCAAACGACAATAGACTGTGCCAGAGCATGAGCAGTGCTTTGGGTGTCAGACATTGGCTTCTTTTTCAAGTACCAGAACCAACCCATTGCCCCTCCGAGCCATTCTCCCCCCTCTACCCCCCCATCTCCTGGTCCCTCCAGTTCATCTGTCACCCCTAACTTCTGGGCTATTGAGACGGCTCACCCGACCTCGCCTCAGCAACACTAATACATGTAATACAACACCAGTCGAGGCTGGGACTCACAGAGCAAAACACAAACACAATACCAGCTGCTGCTCTCTCTCTCTCTCTCTCTCTCTCTCTCATTCTCTCTCTATCGAGTGCACACTCACACACAATACTCTGAAAGAAATAGCGTCCCATCAGAGTCATCATTTTAGTGATGTTTTCGCCTAGAAGGATGAAGCACCAGCTTTTCAGATTCAGATATAAAAAAGTACTATATATTTTTATATATATGTATATATTTATATACATATATATGAACTCTACAACCCTACAAATAACAAAAACAACCTATATTTTTTCTGTTTATTTTAAATACATTATATTACCACAAGGGAATAAGTATTTTATTTTTTATTTGTCACTTTCTTTTTGGCCAGGCACATCCCAGGACAACTGCTTTTAATGAACAAAGTGTAATGTTTACATATTGGTTTTGAGCAGTAAGTCTTAACACAGTTTATCTCATGATGCTTTCTGCTCATATTTGGTTAATGCTAGATCAAAAACATGCAAAAGCACTCTTTCACCTATTTTTGGGAGGAAATATGTCTTTTGCCGTGTTATGGCCATATGTCGGGCATAAAGCTAGCAAATCGAGATCGCTCGGCTCCTTTTCTCCTTCTATATCCCTTATACAGTATAAAATAATTTTAAAAAACTGAAAAAGATTTAGTCCCGTATTCTTTGGAAATTCAGTGTCTTTTCAATACACACAGACTGCCACAGGAAGTGCCATTAATTATGTGGTTCTCCTTGGGAACTGTTGTCTTTGATTCTAAAATAGTCCAAAATATTTTTTAATTTTTTTTGGATTTTAGGTACACAGCTCCAAAAATCAGCAGAGCTCTACCCTCACATCTAGGTTGTCCAAAATAGTTTTGCTTTATGCTTGAATGCCTGCTAGTCCTTCCTTGAACGAGTGTGACCATATTTCCCAGAAGCCCCGATGCATATCTTCAAAGATAAAAACACCTGCAGAAAAGAAGCCACAACAAAAGAACACAAACTCTGCGTGTGTTTATTCATGAGACCCGTCCTGCTACAAGCCAGTATTCCCAACGCTGTGTGTGACAGGCATTAGCTTCCTCACCTCAAGCTGCCCATGACCTACAGGTCAACAAGCCAGAAACCAGAGTAGCTACACAACATGCTCGCACCACAGCTTGATGCTTTCCAGACGTTCCCTCCTCCCCCTTCCCCTCTTCCCTCCTACATTGCCTGGCACTCTTGCCTGTCCTCTCCACATCTATTACACACTTGAACCACCACACATGTCCAAACTCACTCCTCCCCTCTTTTCACCAACTATGCTTATCAATGTTTTTGTTTCTTCACAGCCCTGTTCCCATGCTGGGAAAACACACATTAATCTGCACAGTCCAGTTTTCCTTTTGGATTTTTCTCCTATTAAAGCCAAGACTAAATCCTCTCATTTGATTATGAAATATTTTACATATTTACATTAACCAGCCATAGTGTATGGTAGACCATAAATAAGAAATGAAGACAACTATTAGACATTAGTCAGTTTTAGTGGCTCGTTGGTTAATTAGAATACTACTAAAGATGATGACTAACTTTTCTTCTTTGGACAGATATCCTGGTCACCTATTTCATGTTGCCACTTTAAAATACACAGTTAACAATGGTGGTTAAATCTATTTGGGCCACATGGTGGTTAGTGAGACTGCTCTACAGCAAGAATGTTCTGTCTCTCCTGGAGTCTACAGTAATTGTTTGGTTGTTTCCATGGTTGCGTCAGGGCACTGATAAGGACTGGGAACTGTACATGGTTGTACAGGGTGTATCCCAGGGCCCTAGTGGTACTACTGCTAGGTAAGGCCTAGGGTTGGATCAACGAAAAGCAGTTGGCCGGCAACAGTATTTTGGAGACAATAATTTGTGAGAAAGTGAAGTGAACGTTGCGCAATCACGACTCAGCACCGATACGGATGAATGAAACTGCTGTTCCTATTTATAGCTTCATTGGTTTCGTGTATGGGCCTGTACACAAAATACTGTTGAAAAACTTTGAATAAGCAGTCATCCGGAGAGAGGAACGGATTAATCCATTTTACATTGATCCCTATGGAGAAAACTGTTTTTGAACCTTTTGGTTCACAAATGGCCTTCAGGAACAAATTAAGTTTGAAAAACAAGGTTTTGTATGTGTGCGTATATATATATATATATATATATATATATATATACATACATACATACATATATAAATATAAATATATAAATATAAATATATATATATATATACTTACAGAGACTACTACAGTACAGTGGGTCAAAAATGGTAGTCCTGAAACCCTCTGACATTATCAACCCAATGTTCAGTCATCTCATCTGTATAGCTGACATCATTGTGCTGCTGTGTGCTAAATTCAGGATTTAGCTGAACTGAAATAACGTCATCCATCCTTCAACTTTACTCAAAAGACTCATACACACAGCTGCGCGCACACACAGGTTAAGAGACAGTGATGAAGTGAGAAAGTGCATGATTCAGGTTCTGAGATGAATGCAAATGTTTCTACGGTGGCACATAAAAACCAGCACCCAGACACTCTATTACCACAGAGCAGGTTAGGGCCAGTGAGCGCTCCGTACGAGCAGTGTGATAAATGAGAAGCTAAAAGTGCAATTAATCTCTCTGTGCTTATCTTTATCTCTCTCTATTAATATCACTGTCTTTCTTTCTCTTGCTTTTTGCACCCCTCCTCCCTCCCCCTTCACTCTGTTAGAGACACATTGATCAACAGCCCCTGGCACATCACCTGAGTAATGACCAGGGGAGTCTGGGATTTAAAACAACCTCAGTGTTACACCAAGACCTTTATCATAACAACAAGGCAAACGGTTGCCCATATAATATCCCTCTCTCCCACTATCCTTGAGGAGGTGATGTGTGGTGTGTGTGTGTGTTGTACCTGGTATGTTGGAGTATTTGTGGGTTGCAGACCATAATTGTAGGCTCACCATTGGCACCACTGACGCTTTCACCGTCTGTGGCTCTTTTCCAAGCCCTGGATGTCTTTGCTTCTTCGTGCTGTCATTTGGAATTGGTACATCTAACTCTACAGCTGTGCTCCGTCGACTGTCCCTCAACACAACTGGAACTGGACATCACCAGTCGTCTCAGGTGGTGTCTTCCAGTTCGACGTTTAACCTTAAGAGAGGGATAAGAGATGTAAAGATAAAAAACACTTTTAGTTTGTATTTCCCTGTTGACAATAACTGTATGTTCTTGTGGTCTTTTTGTTTCATGTGGATCAACCTAGCTTCAGGAAATCCCTGGCATGAGGATCAACAGGCACAGGGCAAGTCAGCGGTCCTTAAACCAACTACAGAATGAAATGGTAGGCTTTTCCCTCCATCAGACAACGTCA